CGCCCCCGCGCCCGCCCCCGTCGCCATCTCCGGCGCCCGCTGCTCCTGCGACGGCGCCGTCACCGACTGCTCGCGCCGCCACAAGTCCGTCGTGCGCCCGGCCGAGCTCTGCCCCAACAGCACCGTCATCGACTTGCAGGTCCCGCACTCTTTGCACTTCGCCACTGCGCGCGCTAAGTCCGCGTTTAAGCTTCTTTTTAGCTGTATCGCCGCACACACGTCAGGATTAAGGTAGGTTAGCCACGTGCCAATGTTGGTTACGATTGGTGCAGGTGGAGGGGAGACACTGTTTGCAAAAGTTAAGGTTAAATAAGTGTTCAAGATTCAATGAATATTAAATATATTAATCTAATAACTCGTGCATCAAGATTCATTGGAAAAATAATTAATACCTATAAACAACAGGAAGGTCTCAAAGCCCCACGCGCCAGCTACCATGAGTCCATGGACATCGGGAGCGGATCCAGCAGATCATTTTGGAGTGGGCCATGACAGAGTTTTGTTAATAATAATGAACATATTTGTTATTATATTGTAGTATATTACTTATATACTGTAGATATGATACTATACAATATTATTGTTTAATAAACTATATAATTCGAAGATAAATAAATATTTAAATCAATTTTCCCAAAAAATGGAAGGAAAACTAAAATTGTTGGCCTTTTGGAGGGGCCATGGTGCCCATGGCCCCATCCCCCTGGATCCGCCTGTGATGGAGATCTACATTTGCCATTCGCCTATGCAGATTGGGAATCGCCACTTCACCTTGTGGTAATCTCTGTGTTGACAATCTTGTTAGTGCTGTTAGATTAACATAATACTCATTTGTGTTCAGTCAGTCTTTTTTTAGGATGTCATCTAGCATTTCTGTTGACGCAAGATGCACCTTCATTGAACCAGGTTCCATTACTTGTCTAATAAAATGATAACGTACATTTACATGTTTTGTTTGTGCATGAAATATAGGATTCACAGCAAATATTTGTGCACTAAGACAGTCGTTGTGTACAGTTAGAATCTTTGTATCATTTGCACCCGACTCACTCAGAAACGTTGGCAAAAGTTCCATCTCTTTGGTATCATCACTTAATGCCATAAATTCTACTCCAAAGGTGAACTACGACTATTTTCTGCTTTCATGAATCTCTTGTTATAGGCCCTCCATTCATACAGAATTCATATCTTATATAAGATTTTCTGTCATAGATTTATTCACCATATTAAGCAGCAATGTCGTCACTAGTAATCTTTGTTATTTTTATAACAAATTTCAGTAGTAATTTCCATTATTATTATAACAAATTTCTGCGTCTTTAGTTTATCTTTTAAATATATCATAACTCTTTTTGCCTCTTCCCATTGTGATTTTCCAAAGCAATGCACCAATGTAGTGAATGTACTCTGGACATACATTATAAATACAGTAATCATCCAACAAGTTCAAGATACGGAGGTTTGGTACCACTTGAGTCTTTCCACACATCAGTCTTTGTTAACTGAGTGCCGATGGCCATTGGTGTGGACACGGAGATCCAATTAGACTTATTGAACCAGGAAAGTATTTCATCTATATGTTCTTTGATTCAAACTTATTGCGCTGACTTGAACTCTAAAATCTATAACCAAACAACGTATAATTTCCCCATGATCTCTAACTTCGAAAATTAAGCTAATCTACGTCCGAAGCCTTGGAACTTCTGCCAGTCTCGACACATAACTAAAATATCAACATATACAACGAAGATCATTTCGTTATTTTGATTTTTCACAGAAACGCAAGGATACCCTTTTATAGGAGTAGAACCTACATGACTAGGTGTTTGTTCCAAGCCCGGTTGTTTTAAACGATAGAGGGCCTTCTTCATATGACATATTATGTCTCCACTTGGCATTTCTTCTAACACAGACTTGGTATTTCGAACAGTTTCATAATAATAACCTTTACATTTAACGATATGTTCCAAACCTTCTATCATTTCACTGGAAATCTCCATAAACACATCTTTTAAAGTACCGTTAAGCTGTTGCTGAGTCGAAATGTGTAATTTTCATCTGATTTCGTACCGCGAGTGTAATCGCTATTCAAATAAAATATAGATGAGAGACTGGGGCAAACGTTACGTAAAAAATGTCTTCGATATTGAGGATATCCTTTAGCGATGACTACCTATTCATCTTTCTAAAATAAGTTACGTGTGTTATTATACAGAACAAAAAGACTACTTATGATATCTCCAACATTTGATCTAGGAACATGTATCATAATTTGATCCAGGAATTGTATATCTTTAAAAAGATGTTGTTAACTTATTTTTACTTTCCCATAAATGTAAGTACATCCGGAGTAATATGCCTAGTATAAGGAAAGTTAATAATGATACGGAAAATCTATTTCGAGATTTCAACAGAAATACACGTTCTGGGGTCCCCTGATACAGAAAAAGTTGTTCTTTTCTAAACGTCCGTCCGTTTGTCTGCCAGTCTGCGCCTGAACCATACACGGGATTTTTTTCCAAATTGAAGAAACCCCTGTACATCTGGCTCAAGTCGAAACATTGAGATTTTGAAAAACATTGTTTAAAATTTGGGTTACTTTACTTGGAGCCCTCCGGAAATTTTCAAACTTTTCTCAAAAACGGCTCCAAATTCTTTCTTTAAATTTCTAGTAAGAATAGAGTAACATGCATTTATAAAAGAGACATAGGTCCGATTTTCATGGTTAACTCTTGAATTTTCGAAAATTTCAATAGTATGCATTTTTTGAGCCGTCCAACAACAACAGAATAAAGATAATGATTTTTTCTTGAAATAAAATTTGTTTTCAATAATTCGTTCTTTCATTGAGGTCATGTACATGTTTTTCAAAATGTTAGTAGTTTTCGCAGAATGTTACGTATAATATTTGCAATTACCAATTAACAATAACACGATTTTCTCAAAAACTGCTGCAAATTTTTTCGTTGAACTTTTAGTAAGGATAGTACTAAATACACTGTATAAATGCCATAATGCCATATTTCTCTATTTTCTTTTTTCAAAATTACATTTTTTATTGTCTCTCACGTCGCTAATATTTTCATTAGCTGCAATTCCTTTCCATGAGTAAATGTGCTTTAAATCATGTTAAAGTGTCCCGTTGTTTTCCGTGAAAATGAGCTCAAAATTTCGTATTTTCTGAGAAGTTCAAACGCCGTTTTCTCAAAAACGGCTCCGAATTTTTTCTTCGAGCTTTCCTTCAAACCAGCAGGTAGTGCAAATGGCACTGTTTAAGATGACGTAGAATTAATTTTGCTGTATTCTATTGTTTTTTCACAAATTACACAAATGCATTTTTGATAGATCTCTCACATCTTTATAATGCACATTTCCATTGATTTGTAAACGTTATTGCATTTGTGTCTGAAAGTGCTTGAAATGACGTCATTTGATGTTTTTCGAAAACTCAATAGATTTCTGTGAAAAGAGTTTCAATTTTCGCATTTCCAGTACCGCTAAAATTACATTTTCTTAAAAGCGGCTCCATATTTTTTTTAATTTTTTTTTTTCATTTCGGTCGAGGTTTTACTGTTCTTTAATGTTCCTGAAATAATATTTTTGTTCTACTATTAGGATGGTAAAAATTAATAAAATGTACTTTGGGCGGCTATAGAAGCCGAATAGTGTGCCGAAACCAATGTAAATAGAAAACGAATACGGGAAAATCTGTACCATTCTGTAGCACTACTAGTTTAAATGAGTAATTATTGAAAAATGACATTTAGAGGAGGGAGAGTTTCTGTTAGCCACGCATTCTCACTAGTAAAAATAAATAACTTTATTATTATTATTATTATTATTATTATTATTATTATTATTATTATTATTATTTAAGCTGGACTTGCA